GATTCTTAACTGTTCCTATCAAGATTTAGTAGTATTTGTCGCATAGATGTTTCTGTATTTGCTGTATGAGCTTAAGACATTTTCCAGGGACTTTGAGCCTTTTATAATTTTCACCAGTTAGGGTTGTATCCCTGAGGAGAGGGTCTGTGGAGCTACTCATGCCATCATTCCAAAAATATTCTTTCTCTTCTGATTCTTTTAAACTGGAAGTTAGTCCCAATCTTGATTAGATGAATGTTGACCATTTTTGATGTTTCAGAGGCGAGACTATGGGCTGCGTATTTCATCATATCAGGAGGCACTTAAGGTCAAGTTGTGTTGCTGTTGTTGATAACTGAATTTATTCTCTTGGTTAAGCTGGTGACTGATGATGGATTCCTTTATTTTAAAGGTTTGTTTCTTCATTACAATTAGCAAGTAATCTGTGGAGTGATACTTGGACACACTGGGAACACATTCTGTTCCCCAACAACTGTTCTTTCATTTAATGGTTTTAACATAGGTTATTTACCCATGCCTGAATAAATTATTTCACTGTGGGAACCCTTTTTATTTTGAAACACTCTTCAGTTTTTACTCTAATTTTGAAACCTTTTTGTTTTTTTTTTAGAGTCAGTCTACTTAATGTGTTGGCATTTAGTAGACTTGCTGAGGTTATTGTATGTGTGAAATGCCCTGAAACTAATGACAAACACAGATAATACAAATATTCTAAAGAAAATTGTTATATATGGCTGAAATTAAAGTCACTGCAGGTCTGAGAAATCTGTTAGTGGCAGGCAAAGGTGCTGAGTTTTCTTTTGTTTGCTTGCTTCTTTTAATGAGCATTTTTATGTTTCCAACTACAGGCACATTTGTATACCTTTGGGCTTTGGGTTTTTACCCATTTAGATGAACCACTCATATTGGTTCTGTGTGGGAGATATACTCTGGATGCCAACTGGTATGGCAGAAACGTACCTTTCACAATTTGTTTTAACAATAAGAATAACTTGCGGCCGGGCGCGGTGGCTCACGCCTGTAATCCCAGCACTTTGGGAGGCTGAGGTGGGTGGATCATGAGGTCATGAGATCGAGACCATCCTGGCTACCACGGTGAAACCCCTCTACTAAAAATATAAAAAAATTAGCTGGGCGTGGTGGCAGGCGCCTGTAGTCCTAGCTACTCGGTAGGCTGAGGCAGGAGAATGGTGTGAACCCGGGAGGCGGAGCTTGCAGT